AATCATAGGAAAAAACACAGTAATAATAAGAGAGATGGGGCGCCTGGGTGGCTCAGTCGGTTGGGCGTCTGCCTTCAGCTCGGGTTGTGATCCCGGAGTCCTGGGATCGAGTCCCGCATTGGGCTCTCTGCTCAGCGGGGAGCCTGCTTCTCCCTCTCACTCTCTCTCTCTCTCAAATAAATAAATAAAATCTTTTAAAAAAATAAGAGAAATGAATTAAAATGCAGCAGACTAGATTCAGATTAGGTAAAAGGGAGAACTTCCTAACAGTAAGAACTTTTTTTTTTCCAGACAAGAATGAAGCTATGCTGGGAGGCCATGATCATATTGAAAGAAATTTTGGGTTTGGGAATCTGTTTGTGCTTCTTTTTTTTTTTATTATTCTTCTGTTAATCCCCATACATTACATCATCAGTTTTAGATGAAGTGTTCCATGATTCATTGTTTGTGCATAACACCCAGTGCTCCATGCAGAATGTGCCCTCCTCAATACCCACCACCAGGCCAACCCATCCTCCCACCCCCCTCGCCTCTAGAACCCTCAGTTTGTTTTTCAGAGTCCATCGTCTCTCATGGTTCGTCTACCCCTCCGATTTCCCCTGCTTCATTCTTCCCCTCCTGCTACCTTCTTCTTCTTCCTTTTTTTTCTTAACATATATTGCATTATTTGTTTCAGAGGTAGAGCTCTGAGATTCAACAGTCTTGCACAATTCACAGCTCTTACCAGAGCACATACCCTCCCCAGTGTCTGTTTGTGCTTCTTAATAGGCGACCCACTGCTAGACTCATCAGGGCTCTAACTTTTCTTTTTTTCTTCTTTTTTTTTTTTAGATTTTATTTATTTATTTGAGACAGAGAGAATGAGAGACAGAGAGCATGAGAGGGAGGAGGGTCAGAGGGAGAAGCAGACTCCCTGCAGAGCAGGGAGCCCGATGCGGGACTCCATCCAGGGACTCCAGGATCATGACCTGAGCCGAAGGCAGTCGCTCAACCGACTGAGCCACCCAGGCGCCCAGGGCTCTAATTTTTCTTAACTATAGGTGCAAACCAAAGAATGCTCTCTATCCACCCAGAGCAGATCCCTCAAAACTGGTCTAGAGGGCAGGAGTTCATTATGCCTTCTGTCCGGGCGTCACACTCCCTTACTTGTGTGACCCATGCTGATCAGCTTGTCTCTTTCTGTCTGGACTGACCTTCCTCAGAATCAAACTGGAAAGCAGCAGGGCCAAAACACGATTTGTGGGACATTCTACTCAGCTAATCATAAGAGAAAGGGATGCTTTAAATAAACCAAACACAGGAAGCCAATTAGGGAATCGGGGACCCCCTGATGTGCAAAATACAAAAGAAAGACTCAAGAATGCAAAGGAGAAAACAGACTGAATGAGGTGGGTTGTGGGGTTTTTGTTTTGTTTTGTTTTTTCATTTTGTCTTTTGGTAATGATAAATTAGAGATATAAAATCAAAAGCCAAAGATAGTGAAAATGCTTTCAACTAAGAAGTTAGGAGACTAGGGAAAAGTTTCGAGTTCTGAATCACCTACTATCAGATTTAGAGTCCTTGGGCAACTCACTGCAATTGAAGAAGTGTCTATTAAGTACTACTATGCACTTATTTGGTGATCTCTAAGATCACGGCCACCTCTCGGTGCCTCTGTATTGTATGTCACTACCACCAGATGACAACCTACTGAGCAGGTTTTTAAGGGTGAGATTGTGGGACCACTGCCAAAAAGAATAACCTCTATTTCCAATGAAGGAAGGACAGGTGGGCAATGAGTTCCATCCCTAAGAAGCATTTTAGAAGGGACCTTAAGACCCACCTGTCCATAAGTATCTAGGTAACTTTTTGGCACAAGGGACAAAGAGAAGAATCACCGAATGCTTATTGAGTAATTAACAATGAGCATTGGGGATTGTGTTAGATCTAAAAACAGAAGAAATTTTTAGGCCCTGCTTAAGAACTGCCCAAATGATGTTTATGTATTAAAAAAAAAAAAAAAAAAAAAAAGCAAATGGGCCAGGGCTTCTTCAAAGTGTTGCCCTGAAAAGAGAGGAATAAATAACTAGAGAAGTCAGGGAGTTTCCTGAAGAAGTGAGGCTTGGGCTGAAACTAAGGAAAGGTCACAGATGGATGAGTGGAGGTAGAGACGCAAACGGCATGTGATGTGCAGAGAAACGCAGGTAGTTTGTCTTAGGATAAAGGAGAGACAAGCTTGTCTGGAGTAAGAATGTGTACTGATGAGCAGTGGGAAAGTCAGCCTTCTAGAGCGGAGGTAGTGTGGGTTCAAACTCCAGAGGACTTTAAAAACAGAAAGAGGAGTAAGTCATTATCTGCTGGCTGAAAAGCAACCATATTTCTGTAAGGTTTCCATCATGTGAGCTGTTAGTGTTCAATGAAGGGATAATTAGGCGCAAATTGTTGAGAGAAGCAGTGGATATAATTCTGCTATCTTTAAGAAACTTTTGGACAATATAAAAATGGAGTCATCATGGAATTAAGGGTGGTGTTTTTCATCAAGTCACTTGGAGATAGGAAACAATAGAAATAAAGGGTCACTTCTCGGAATGAAAGGAAATTAAGAGTTCAGGGGGCCCCAGGAGACCATGCTGGGACTTGTCTGATTTAAATTTTTTATAAGTGATCCAGAAGTAGAGCAAAGTGAAAATTTCAAGAACTGCAGATCATCTTAAACCTTTTTGGGTAGGGAAATGCTCTGCCAAAGGAGACAGAGCTGAAGGAAGGTACTGAGTGGGATGTAAAATGGCAGATAAACGTCAATGTGAGGAAACGTAAGGTAATGCACTCTGATAAAAATAATCCACGTACAGGGTGTTGGGTTCCAGGCTATCAGTTTTGACACAGGAAAGGGATCGGAGAACTACTGCAGATTGTTTCCTAAAGGCAGTGTCCTAATGTGTGGGTCAGGAAGGCTGACAAAGGGATAGGCAGGAGCGGGAATGGAGCTGAAAACCAAAGAAGGAATCATCCTTCCTTTGTGCCAGACTACAGAGTCCCACATCTGGGACAGTGGTCAGGTTTACATCTATTGAAAACTAGGGCCCAAGGATATCTAAAAAAAGGCAACTACAAGGACCCAAAGGATGAATGTGGCTGTTCTATGGGTGGCTGGTCATAAGGGGGAAGCTCAAGCATGAAAGACAAAGGCTAAGAGAGATGGAATAATCAAAGCCTATAAAGCTGGTGAGGGTAAGGTGTGGGTACGCATAACCTTTCCTCTATATCCTGACATATTTAAGCAAATAGCCTCCTCTTAACGCTTGAAATATCACAGGAATAAAAGGATTTCAGAGTTGAGATCATCTAGCCTATCCCTTTATATTAGAGATGGTAGAATTTAAGCTTAGAGAGTGCAAGGAAATGGTCCAAGGTCAAGAAGCCACCAGGGGCCAAGGTCAGATTAGAGCCCAGGCTGCCTGAATCCCACACCAGGGTCTTCCTACCTCACCTTTTGCACTCAGGAAGACTAAGGGAATCCAACTTTTTATAGGGTATAAATTTATGAAACGCATTACTTTGAGATGTAATAAAGCTGAAAACACAAACAGGCGAGGGAGAGTTTCGACTAAAAGTCAACCAGCAATGATAAGATCTTTGAAAGACTACCAACTGGGGCAAAAGAGACTTTTTACACACCCTAATTTTTGGGGATCGTGTACCCCTTTGACAGTCTGAAGAAATCTAGGGATTCTCTCCTAGAAAAATACATTTGCATGCACAAACACAATCTTGCACAAAATTTCAGGCCCACTGAGTCCCATGCCCAATTAAGAATCCCTGTTCCGGCACATTCTTCTGAACAGACTGCCTGCTTCAACAAATGCACTCAATCTCACAGGATAACTGAGGCAATCACTCTAATTTTCCTCTGCAAAGAACTACTGTCCTAACTTATTACTTATCACATACTAGAATTGCAGACCTCCAGGTTGGAAGAGACCAGAAAAATTATCTAGTCCAACTGCCCCCCACAACCCCTCCTCTGTGATATAGAATAGTGTCATGGTTAAATAAATACATGGTGACTAGAGTCAGCCTGCCTCGGCTAGAATTCCAACCCCATCACTCCATAGCTGTGTGACCTTGGGCAAGTTACTGAAGCTCTCTGAGTTTGTATCCTCATCTGTAAAGGGGGATAATAATGACAACTATCTCAGAGTAGTCATGAGGATGAAATGAGATTATTAATATAAATCATGGCACCAGTCCTGGCTTGTAGTGAGTGCTCAGTAAATGCTAGTTGGCATTATTGTTATTATTATGCATGTATCCATGCAGGTATTATGCATGTATCCATCCAAGCCTTCCCCCCGCCCCCCCCCCCCCGAGCTTTTGCTTGCACATGTCAGTGATGAGCAGCTCACCGCCTCCGAAGCTGGTTGAGCAACTCTGATTGTTACAAACTTCTTCTAATATTGAGTTGAAATTTGTCTCCTTGAAACCCCTACCCCCACCTCTGTTGACCCTAATTCTGCCCTGTGGGGCCACTCAGAGCAAGTCTACCCTTCCTGCACGTGACAGCCCTTCAGATACGAAGACAGTGATCGAGTCCTTCCCCCGCCCTCCCGTCCCCCACCCCCCATCCTCTCTTCTCCAGCTTGAACATCCTTGGTTTCTTCTCCCAGCCCACAACATACTGGCTGCGCTTACTATTTACTCCGAGGCGTTGTACGGTTTCCCTCACACATAGTCATGCAGGCCACACACCCCACCGCCACCACAACAATCCCGACCCTCCTGCTCCGCCCCCGCCCGCTGCCCCTGTCCGCGGTGCTGAAGCAGCTCCGGGCCCCGCGGCCCTTCCCGGCCCCCGCCCTGGGCAACCCCCGGCCCGGCCCCCAGGCGCCGACCCCGCGCGCCACCCCCGCGCCCCCAGCGGCAGCCGCGGCCCGGCCCGACCCAGGCCCGGCCCAGGCACCGCCCCCCCGCCCTGCCCGGAGGCCCCGAGCCCGCGCCCCAGCCCCGCGCGCCAGCCCCACCTGCCCGGCGAAGGGCGCCTCCGCCTCGGCCGCCCGCTCCGCCGCCGCCGCCGCCGCCGCCGCCGCCCGCGCGGCGCCCGGGAGGCAGCAGAGCGCGGGCAGCAGCAGCAGCAGCCGCCCGGGGACCCGCCAGCGGCTCCAGCGCGGTGCCCGGCCCGGCGGCGGCGGCCCCGGCGCGGCGCGGCCGCCCCGGCTCCTCGGCATCCCCGCGGCGGGGCCCGGCCGCCCGGCTGCGATGGCGGCGGCGGCGGCGGCGGCGGCTCCGGCCGGGTCCTCCCGCTGCAGCCGCTGCGGAGCCGCCGAGTCACGGCGCCGCGGACACGCGCCCGGCCCGCCTGTCTTCGCCGCCGCCGCCGTCTCGGCCGCCAGCGCGCCCCCGCCTCCGCGCGCCCCGCCCCAGCGGGGGGCGGCCAGGGGCACCGGGGCAGCACCCCGGGCCGGACTGCGGGGGCGGCGGCTCCGGGCCAGTCCTGGGGCACTGGCCGGGGAGCGGTGCCGGGGAGGGGTTCTCAGCGGCCCGAAGCACAGCTCGGAGGGAGGGTCCGAAGGGGTGGCCCTGGAGGCGGGGGTCTGGGGGCAGCCCTGAAGGAGGGGGAAGAGGCTAAACTGAATAGTCGCAGAGGTGGAACCACGCGATGGTTCCGGGGGAGGTATGGTTGGGGGTCCGAAGCCAAAAGACTAGCCCTGAGGGACGGAGTCTGAGGGGGTGGCACTGGAGGAGGGGGGTCTGGGAGACAGCACTGGGGGAGGGGACTGAGAAGACGCTCTGGAGTAACGGCGGGGGCTGAGGGGGGCGGTGGCCCTGGAGGAGAGGGTCTGAGAGGGCGGCCTTGGAGAAAGGAGGGCAGGGAGGGTGGGAAAGGGAGGAATAGATTTGAGGAGTGTTTTGGGGGAGCAGCCCTGGGAGACATTACGTGAAATTAAGGTGAAGCTCATTCTCTAGCCGCCCCCCTTAGTTGGAGAGAGATCAACCAGTTGGGAAGATCATCTTTCATCCAAAACAACCCATATGTATTGAACACTTTCTATATATATGTGGGGCTCTGGGCTACTTGGGACTTAAAAAGAAAAAAGAAAAAGGAGGCTGATTCCCTAAAGTGTAGAGGTTTACAGCTTGGTGCGCAAACGTGAAACACAGGGCAGCAAAGGCCAAGTGTCAAAAAGGATACAGGCAGGTGCTCCGGGGGTCAGGACAGCCTTGATGGGGGACAGGTGAAGTCAGGACAGGTGTTATGGAGGGGGTGGGGGACTCTAGCTAGGCCTTGAGGAAAGGCTGGATTTAAATAAGGGAAGGGGGATGGAGAGGGCGTGTCAGGTAGGAAGATGGGGTGTACAGGATGTGGTTGGGGCAGTAGATCCATTCTCTGGAGCATAGGGATCCTACAGGAAAGTGCTGGGGGAGTGAAGGAAGCAGAAGACTGTGAGTTTCAGGATATTAATGAATTTGGGAGGGGAAATGGGGGTGGTGGCATTTGAAGGCTCTTTTAAGCAGGATGGCGTGTGGAAAATGGTGTTTTGTGGTTACCTGGTAATTTGGAGGTGTGGAAAGGGAACAAGCTTAGGAATCAGACTTACATTCATAAATTGGCTCTGTTCCATTTTTACAAAATGATGTTGGTATTAATGCATAAGGTTGCTCTAAAGATGATGTGCTTGGCACTTAATAAATGTTCCATATTAGTTCTCCTTCCAGTGTACAGAATAGTGACCAGAGGAAGCAGAGAAATTAGTTGGAGATTATTACAATAGTCTAGGTATAAAGAAATAATGATGACAATAATAGTGAACACTTATTAAATGCCTAGTTTGTATCAAACATTGGGCTAAGCCCTTTACTGTGTTATATCTCATTTAATCCTCATAAATAAACCCTGTGAAACAGATACTATTATTACCCCCAATTTAGAATAAGGAAGCAGAGGCTCTGAATAAGTTTGCCAAATGTGCATGATTCATAAGTGGCGGAGTGGGAAGCAACCTGACCTCAGAACACATTTTTTTTTTTCTAAGATAGGGTTGGGGGGAGAGATTTAAGAGACATTGGGCCAAAAAGAAGAAAAGGAGTTTGGAGTGATGACAAGTCCAGGAAGATGGATTGTAGTGTCTTCACAGCGATGGAGTGTCATAAGGACAAAGATGACAAAGAGTTTTAGGTTTGCTGAGGCCCTGGCGACCGTAAGATCCCTGAGATGGATATAGGAATGAGTTCAGTAGAGGGTGGAGAATGGACATTTTAGAAACCTCGAGGTCAATGTGATATTTGAAACTGAAAGATTGGAGTGGAAAAAGCAAAACTTCAGGCCCTGTGTTGAGACATACATATTCAGTCTAAAGAGTGCTCAAAAGATTGAGCAATCAGGGTCATAGGGTATATAGGAAAGGGCAGGAACATTTCAAGGAGATGAAGAGGGCTTGGCAGTATCAAGGAGATCACAGAGATTGAAGACTGAATACACACCATTGAATTTCCTGCTCACAGTCTAACAGGGAGATAGGGACATAGCTAGTCACATGGTTTCATGCTAAATTATGACAGAGATGGGAGGGAAGTGTTACGGAAACATCGAGGAAAGAGCAACAAATTACCCAATGTCGGAAGCTTGGGAGAGGGTGCATTCCAGCAGGAAATACTACATTCAAACCAGATATCAAGGATGATGGACAAGGGTGGCAGTAGGTAATTAATGATAAAGAAGGAAGAGATTGGTATAAACAAATGGATGCTTATAGAATATAACCCTAAGGTAGGTCCCTAGTAGAGAAGGTCTAGAGACCATTGTGAAGCCAGCCCAAGAGGAGGTTTGGAGGCTTTAGAGTAACACTGTCAGATGAACTCACCAGGGCACAGATTTCTCTTTTCCCTTTTTTCATGGAAAAGGCATGGAACTTAGAGTCAGATACCTGGATCCAATATTGGTTGTTACTAATTTGTAGTGCACCTTTGGGCAAGTCATTTAATCTCTTTGAGCCTCAGTTTCCTCATTTGTAAAGTAAAACAATGACCCTGCCCTCTCCGCTTCATTAGATGGACCACACAAATGGTTGAGATTCACTTTGTAAACTATATAGTCAACTGAGCAGATGTTAGGAGAAACTTGGGTATTAATAATCTCATCAGGATGCATTATGCCAATACCAGAGCTTGCTGTAAGGCAACTGGATCCCTTCTCCCTTCACCTCCTCTCTTATTTCTTTATTCAACAAATATTTATTAAGTATCTTTTGGGTGCTAGCTGGGCTGGGATATAAAGATTAGGTTACAGTTGCCTCCTTTAGAAAGATAATCAACTGGGGAGATAGACACATATAGATAGAAGGAAGATAGCATAATACGTGCTATAAAAGAAAATATTTTTTTTAAAGATTTTATTTATTTTGTGACAGAGAGAGAGACAGCGAGAGGAGGAACACAAGCAGGGGGAGTGGGAGAGGGAGAAGCAGGCTTCCTGCAGAGCAGGGAGCCCGATGTAGGGCTCGATCCCAGGACCCTGGGATCCTGACTTGAGCTGAAGGCAGACAATTAACGACTGAGCCACCCAGGTGCCCCTATAAAAGAAAAGTTTTATGAAAGTAGAGAGGAGGGAACAACTAACTGTCTAGAGGTGGCAGGAGGGGAGATGGGCCTTGAAGGACCAGCAGGAATTTACTCTGTAGAGTGCAAAAAAGGAACCGTATATCCACAGGTACAGATAAATATGAATGCCACGCTAAGGAGTTTGGACTTCAAGTTCTAAGCCAACAACTCTTGGAGTGTGGTTGAGACCCTTTCAGGGGGTCTGTGAGATCAAAACTATTTTCTTAACAATACTAAGCTTTGTTTGTCCTTTTAACTCTCATTCCTTCATGAGTGGATGGTGTGGCTTTTCTGAGGCTTCACAACAGATTGCAGAAGTAGACATGAGAATACAATTATCTTCTATTGAGTCAGACGATAAACAGGTTGTCAAAAGTGTAGAGCAGGGGCGTCTGGGTAGTTCAGTTGGTTAAGCCTCCAACTTTTGATTTCAGCTCAGGTCATGATCTTGGGGTCCTGGGATCAAGCCCCACATGATGCTCAGCGCAGAGCCTGCTTGCCCCTCTCCCTCTGCTCCTTCCTGCACTTGCGGTTTCTCTCGCTAAAAATAAATAAATAAATAAATAATGTAAAGCAATACCACTTTTCTCACTAATTTTTTTGAAATCATAACCATTTTTCATAAAAGTGTTATTTATGTTAACTGATTTATTGTTATTTGAAACAAATTAATATGTAAATATTTTAAAATTTCTCAGCTTTGATTTCTAGTGGTAATGACCAATAGATATAATTCACATAAAACAAGCTCTCTGGAGTCCTCAATAATTTTTAAGAGTGTAAAGGAGCGGGGCGCCTGGGTGGCTCAGTTGGTTGAACCACTGCCTTCGGCTCAGGTCATGATTCCAGAGTCCTCGGATTGAACCCCGCATTGGGCTCCCTGCTCATGCAGGAAGACTGCTTCTCCCTCTGCCTGCCGCTCCCCCTGCTTGTGCTCTTTCTCTCTTTCTCTCTCTCTGTGTCAAATAAATAAATAAAATCTTTTAAAAAAAAAAAAAGAGTGTAAAGGAGGGGCGCCTGGGTGGCTCAGTCGTTAAGCGTCTGACTTCGGCTCAGGTCATGATCCTGGGGTCCTGAGATTGAGCCTTACGTCGGGCTCCCTGCTCAGCGGGAAGCCTGCTTCTCCCTCTCCTACTCCCCCTGCTTGTGTTCCCTCTCTCGCTGTGTCTCTCTCTGTCAAATAAATAAATAAAATCTTTTTTTTAAAAAAAGAGAGAGTATAAAGGAGATCCTGAGACTAAAAGGTTTGAGAACCCTGTTCTGAGCAGCTGGACCTCACCAAAGGGGTTTGAGTAAAGGAGTGACATGATAACATTTCAAAAAATTGTTCAACAAATATTTATTAAACACCTTGATGTGCCCAGCATGATTTGAGGTACTGGGATAGAGCAGTAAACAAATCAAATCAAACTCCCTGCTTTCACAGAATTTACATTATACTGGTGTGACAGACGGTAAACAAAATAATTAATGTATATAGTATATTAGATAGTGATAGCTGTTGAGAAAAGCCGGGAACTAGGATATGAAAGCTGAAAGGTGTGTGTGTGTGTGTGTGCATGTGATTTTGGATAGGATCACCAGGGAAGGTCTCAGTAAGAAAGTAAGTTTTCAGTAAAGGCCTGAAGGAATAAGGGAGTGGACTCTGCAGGTATCTGGGAGAAATGAATTCAGGCAGAGGGAAGAGCAAGGGGAAAAGTTCTGAAGCAAGAGCATGCCTGGCAGGTTTGAGGAACAACATGGAGGACCAGTGTGGTTGGAGTGGAAGAAGGGCGAGAGTATTAGGAGATGAAGGTTATGGAGGGGAGGTACATTTCTTGAGATAAAAAAAGCCAATGGAAGATTTTGAGAATAGAAGAGACATCTTCTGACTTACCTTTAACAGAATCACTTTGGTTGTTGCACTCTGAGCAGGTTGAAAGGCCATACGCAGGAAGTCTAACTAGGCGGCCATTGCAGTAATCCTGATGCAGGACGATGGTGGCTTGGACCAGGGTCCAAGCAGGGATGGGAGATGTAGTTGGATTCTTGATAGATTTTGAAAGTAGAGTTGACAGAACGTGGCAATGGATGGATATGAGGTATGAGGAAAAAAGAAGAGTCAAACGACACCAAACATTTGAGTAACTACAAGAGTGGAGTCGCTGTTGTCTGACACAAAGAAGGCCACAGGAAGGACAGGTTTGAAGAGAACTATCAAGAGCTAGGTTTGGGACATGTTAAGTGGGAGATGTCTATTAAACACCCAAGTGGATGTGGCAAGTAGATGGTTTCATATGTGGGTCTGACTTCAAGAAAGAGGTCTAGACTGGAATATGAATTGGGGGGTTCTCAGAAAAAAAGATAGGATTTAAAAGCCGAAGGATCAGCCACAATTACTCAGGAGATGAATGTTGGTGGAAAGGAAGTTTTGATGACTCCATCCCAGGGGCAAATCTAATATGTTGAGGTTGGGAAAATGAAAAGGAATCAAAAAGACACTGGGAAGGAAGAGACAAAAGAAGAAAACCAGAATTGTGAGAAATCCTGGAGACTAAGTGAAGAAAGTGTTTTAAGGAAAAGAGAGTAATCAACTATACTAAATGCTGCTTACAGATTATCATACGAAGATTAAGAAACAGTCATTGGATTGACCAATGTGGAGCAATTGGTGATCTTGAGATGAGCAGTTTTGGTGGTTTGTAGGGGGTCAGACATCTGGTTGGAATAAGTCCAAGAGGGCATAGTAGAGGAATTGAAAATGTTGAGTACATACACCCTTTCCGAGGAATTTTGCTATAAAGGGAAGGAGAATGTGTGGCAGCTGCAGGAGGATGTAGAGTCAAAAGAGGGTTGTTTTGTTTGTTTTCCTGATGGGAAGAATAATGCTTATAAGCTGACCTAGAACGATCCAGTGGAGTGGGGAAAATTGCTGCTGCAGGAGAGAGTGGGAGAATGGCAGAAACAATGTCCACAAGAATGCAAGTGTGCAAACAGAGAGGCTGACTGTGAGGAGAATTCATCCACAGGAAGAGGGAAGAAGAGGGCCTTTAGGAGTGTAAATTTAGGGCGCCTGGGTGGCTCAGTTAGTTAAGCGACTACCTTCGGCTCAGGTCATGATCCTGGAGTCCCGGGATTGAGTCCCGTATAGGGCTCCCTGCTCGGCAGGGAGTCTGCTTCTCCCTCTCCCACTCCCCGTTTGTGTTCCCTCTCTCGCTGTGTCTTTCTCTGTCAAATAAATAAATAAATAAAAAATCTAAAAAAAAAAAAAGGAGTGTAAATTTAGTACCAGTGTGGACAAGAGATTAGAGGGGAACTTGCATTTATTTGTTGGTTACTTACTTTTTGTCCAGCAGGTGGGGGATGCTTCCCTCACAACACTCCTCCTATACAAGGGAGGTGAGTTATAAGGCTACTGCAACTAAAGTTCCTGAAACCCCAAGACTCTGTGCTCTTTATGCTCCCATGGAACTTTGTCTGTTTCTAGATCCCGTTGCTGATATCAGAATGCCTTCTATTCAATGACCAAGATTCTTTGCTTGACCAAATTGTAGTCAGGCTTCTCAACCTTCTCCTAGGCCCATCTGTGTGCACTTGTAAAAATCTTGTAAAAATCTAGTCTTAGCGGGGTGCCTGGGTGGCTCAGTTGGTTAAGCGTCTGCCTTCGGCTCAGGTCATGATCCTGGAGTCCCAGGATAGAGTCCCACATTGGGCTTCCTGTTCAGTGGGGAGTCTGCTTCTTCCTCTGACCCTGCCCCCTCTCATGCACTCTTTCTCACTCTCTCTCAAATACATAAAATCTCCTTTAAAAAAATCTGGTCTTAGCAAGAACTTTGCTAACTCAATTTATCCAGAAACCCTCCCCCTTCACTATCTGGATCACCTTGCTATCTGATTAGGTCCCTCATCCTCCACTGTCTCCCCAATGATGCCTGATCACCCTGGCCTGTCTTCAGCAAGAATCCTGGTAGGTCTGCTTAGCCAGAATCCCCTGACCCCTGATGTTTCTTCTTAGTAATTTTCTATCACTTGACCCTCGCTCTGTTCCTTGACTATAAATCCCCCCCCTTTGCTCATGCTGTATTCATAATTGAGCCTAATTTCTCTCCTCCACTGCAAAATTCCATTGCGGTAGACCCTATACCTATGGTGATCTTCCCCCTCCCATGAATAAAGTCTTCCCTAAGTGTCATTGAATTTTTTTTTCTTTAACATTGGGTAGGAAGAAACTAACCTGCTAGCTCAACCATAGGGTAGAGATCCTTGTTTCTCATAAAGACAGGAAACAGTTGAGCAGCCCTTGGTGCTGGAGTGCCTTAGACCTGAAGTCAGACAAATTTACCCAAAAGATAAAGACAAAAAGAAAATACAGGAATAGAAAAAAGTGAAGTTCTCATTTGGGATCTGAAAGGAAATATAGACAGGAGGCTGGAGAGCACCATCCAGCTAAGGGGGTCTCCTTGACTTCTCTCCTTCCTCTGAATTCCCACTACGGCAGCTAACATATAATGAGGGCTTATTACACACAGCACAATTTATCTACGTTATATCACTTAATCCTCGCAACTGTGAGAAAACCGCCAAACCAGGGAAAAACCCCAAATGTCTGACACAAAACCGTATATCCTTAACTCTTGGTACATTTGCTCATTCATTAAATACCTCAGAAATTCTATAAACATTACTAAGCCATTCTGGAAAGTACTGAGGTGAGTAAGACAGTGTTCAGGTAAAACAGTGAAGACTTGAGCACATATAAGATGTGACAAATAACCACAACACATTAAAACCTCCTATAGGATTTCACAAGGAGGCGAGGTCACTCTGGCTGGAAAAAATCACAGAGCTCAAGGAAAGCTTCACAAAGGAAGTAGCATTTGAGATGAGCCTATATAAGCAGATGATGTTTTTTACACTAAGTGTTTTACCTGCAATATACGTTGCTCATTACCATGCATAAACAATGGAAGACTGTGCGAAATTTTAACTGGCAGAGATGGGAAGGTAGAGGCATGGAGGAAAGAAAGGGTCCGATTGTTCAGAATGTACAGAAGCCCCAGTTCAATTCCCCGCTTCTGTCTCAACATCCAGCCTCAAATCCAATGACTTAGGGGTATTTTCCCCTTATGAATGTATTCAGAATCATGTATATTCAGTGAAACCCTATGAGGCCATTAAAAAAAATGAATTACTTAATGAACTGATAGGAAATTTTTTCCAAAATGTAATCTTAAATGAAAAAAAATTATTAAAAATTATTTGTGTGATAATGGGGAACAAATTGTGTGCCCTGGCCTGTTTATGTGTAAAATATGGAAGGATCCCCAGGGCGCTGAGAACAGTAATTGCTTTCCTGGAGGGGAACTATGTGGCAGGGGGACAGGATGACAGGGAGATTTGTCACTGTCTACATTTTTGTGTCCTTTGACTTTTTAACTATGTGGGTGGATTATCTATTAGAAAAATAAACAAATATGAGTTGAACTTTTTTTTTTTAAAGATTTTATTTATTTATTTGAGAGAGAGAATGAGATAGAGAGCATGAGAGGGGGGAGGGTCAGAGGGAGAAGCAGACTCCCCGCTGAGCAGGGAGCCCGATTCGGGACTCGATCCAGGGACTCGATCCAGGGACTCGATCCAGGGACTCGATCCAGGGACTCCAGGATCATGACCTGAGCCGAAGGCAGTTGCTTAACCAACTGAGCCACCCAGGCGCCCTGAGTTGAACTTTTTAAAAAGTAACTGTAATAGTCTCTAAAGGCCATTCCCTGAAAAAGGGCATATATTGTAATATGAAGGTAGAAGGAAAAGCGGTTCACTTAGGTGGGCAGTCTCAAAACTTTAGGCCTTAATTTGCATGGCAAAAATTTTATATATCTATCTATATATAGTAAATAAACAAACAATAGAACAGGTAATATGTTTATTATTACTTTTTTTTTTAAAGATTTTATTTATTTATTTGACAGAGAGACAGTGAGAGAGGGAACACAAGCAGGGGGAGTGGGAGAGGGAGAAGCAGGCTTCCTGCTGAGCAGGGGAGCCAGATGCGGGGCTCGATCCCAGGACCCTGGGACCATGCCCCGAGCCAAAGGCAGAGCCTCAACGACTGAGCTACCCAGGCACCCCTCCAAGGGTTATTGTTTTATTTTATTTTTTTAATTTTTTAATTTTTTTTAAAAGATTTTATTTATTTATTTGACAGAGAGAAAGAGAGCCAGAGAGGGAACACAAGCAGGGGGAGTGGGAGTGGGAGAGGGAGAAGCAGGCTTCCCGCCGAGCAGGGAGCCCGATGCGGGGCTCGATCCCAGGACCCTGGGACCAGGACCTGAGCCGAAGGCAGATGCCCAATGACTGAGCCACCCAGGTGCCCCACTATTAATTTTCTTAACATAAGACATCTCCTAGAAAGCAATAAGAAAAGAACCTATAACCCAGTTCAAGAATGGCAAAATGTGTTTCCTCTTAACAGAATATAAATGGAGTCATAATCTTTTTTTAAAAATGACCAACCTCATTTATGATTAAAGAAAGGCAAATTAGAACAATGAGTTCTTGCTTTCTCACCAACAAGACTGCAAATATCAAAAAGTTGGATGTTACAGAGTGTTAATGAGGGTATAATAAAAGTACTGTTGGAAGGGGTATAAATTATGCTTTCTTTGGAGCGCAAATTAGCAATGCCTGTCAGCCTTGGAAATGAGCATACCTTTGGCCCATCAATTCTGATTTTGAGAGTTGATCCTAGAGAGATAATCCTTACATGCGTACAAGGACAAATGTACAAAATTATTCATTGCAGCAATCTTTGTGATTACAAAAGATCAAAATCAGCCTAAATATTTTCCAACTGTAAAAACAGCTGCATCTAAGCAGAGGGACACTAGATAGGTGTTGAAAAGAATAATGTGGGTCTGTAGTGCTGTTGTGACAAGATGATCTTAATTT